AAATATATTTAAATTTCTTCCGTTACGAAACAAACTTACAAAGCATAAAATGGAAACATTTAAGATTAACTTCGACCTCCCGGGGGGTCTTGCTATAGTATGGAGGAGTGGATTGAGCAGTGCCTATCTCCAGAAAAAAAAGCACCTAAACTACGACATGCAGAGCTACGTGAAGAGCAGGTAGACCAACTGGAAAAGTAGCACCATTCAAAAGCTTTCTGATGCGGGTCTTGAAACAAAGCAGAGAAATTATGACCGTTAGTGGCCACAGGTGCGAAAGCTCTCTCTAGAGCTACTGGAAGCCAGATCTCGGGAACCGGAGAAAGTGGAGCAATATTCTCGCCACGCCAAGCAACAGCCTAGAACAACCTCAACCTATACAAGTGACCACGTAAGCCATGCTACTGATGCTGGACAGTTTTTTAGTGGATGCACAATAAACAGCAACATACACATTAATGTAAATAAACAGCCAAATAATGGATCAACGCTCTCTGTCTAATATGTTCGCTCGCTGTTAGTGTTGTTGCATAGCAACCACCTTTTGTGCAGAAGGCAACGGAGGGACTATTTTATTTTGAACATCATTATTTACTAATAAAAACTATTTAAATTAGAGTGTGTATTTTTCTTTCATATTGCCACACTTGGTAACCGTTTTATAAAACCAATAGCTCACTTCAGGCCGTGATATATGCTCATTATATCACAGCTAAGGGGCGTGGTTCGGCCCGACGCGAACGGCCTGTCGTGAGCTATTATAAATAAACTACAGGAAAATGTCAGATAAAACACACCGTCACATTATACCATGAACTAGTTGGTGCTCTATTTTCCTGAAAAGGGTGGAAACACAAGCAACATCAACATCTCCCAGCACAAATACACAATATTACTGAAACATTTTGGTGACCACAGAAGTTATAATAAATACAGCATTATTAAAAAGAGCAATACAGAATCTGAAGAGTATGGTGTGTAGCCTCTCCACAAAAAGTTTCTTGAGATAACTTCTGTTGTGATCCAGTGATTTATAAATAAACGTTAACTTGACATGAGAATGTGAAGGCAGGAATAAAGGATGTGTGTTCTTCTTTCTAAACTCCATTAACACCTGCGGTCAGACTCAAATATAAACAACCAAAGCTCAATGTCTTCCCTAAGCCAGTGCTCAGAAAGATTTAAATAAACCACCACAATTTGCAATTGCAGCTTGATTTAGTTAACAATATGTACACTTAGGAATATATTTTCAGGAAATAAAATAAAAACTGCAATCTTACCAATTGTAGGTGGTGCCACAGGTCACTCCCCACTGTGTTACTGTAGGAAAATTGTTTGAGGTATGTCTGAATATAAAATAAAAACAATCATCCTGTCAGTTAGTTGTTCCCTGTTAGTGAATACGTGCAAATACAGTTATTAATCATGACGTAAAATGTGTGTATGATGCTTTTAAGCAAACAGAAACAAAGGAGCATACACTGAGTCCCTGGACAAAGACCGGCTCTGAGAGGAAATCAGACAACATCCTCAACACTGCTGCACCCTGAGGACACACACATAGAACACACACACAGGACACACACACAGGACACACTGTCAGTCTCTCTGTGAGCTTACACCAGCTTACAATTTGACTGGGGGGGCCGTGCTGGGGCCGGTTATTCAGTGAGAGGCACATTTAATGCTGGAAAAAAGGAGACAAAGTCAGTGTTCAAGATTTAAACTTTTCAGTTCAGTATAAAGACATCAAATACCATTATTGGTTATTGTTTTAAAAACTGGATTTGTGTCAATTACTTAGTTACAATTTTAGTTTAGTTACTTAACCATTAACCTAAATGCAGTTTGGGCTAATAAATACATTATTCACGTAGCCAATCGTTGTTTTTATTTCTTAATATGTGTTGGTATTGGTTTTAGTAACATAATTTGTTTCAGTAACTTGTTTCAATTGATTTAATCACAATACTGAAAAAAATCATTCCTGTTATCTTAGGCCAGGGAAGTCCAACAAAATGTCACTGAGGTCCACATATAGAAAAACATACAAAGGGCCCCTCACTAGAGGTGAGGTATATTGCCTCATAAGTTATGAGGCAATATACCCTCATTAATGTCTTGTTTCTGATACGATCATGTAGAGATATGTTGCCTGTGTGTGTGTACCTTGCTGTATGAGATGGTATCAAACTGCTCAGAGATCTGGCCCGGCAGGATAACACTGTCTTCTTTAGAGGACAGAGGATGAGAGGAAGTCAGGGCGTCCACTGCAAACACCCTGTGGACGTCATCCAGGACGATCAAGTCTTTCTGGAGATCAGAGACAGACAGCAATGTGTAACATTTCATATCAGGTGCAAAGTTGACAGAAAGGCTGAGGTGGGAAAGTTTCCGGATCCAATACTTAAGTAAAAGTAATGATACTTCGCTGTAAAATTACGTTGAAGTACTATCAAAAAGGGACTTAAGTAAAAGTATTTAAGTATGACCATGAAAAATGTACCTCAAGTATAAGGAGTAAAAGTACACATCGCAAAAAAAAATAAAAATGAATGAAACAAATCAAAAGTAAAAACAGCAAATATATTTTGTTTCTACTTTTACTATGAAATGTTTTTTCCCCCAAAAGATTACTTTAACATCAGCCAATGAATTTTCCGTCTCTAGTTGTTTTAGCTCTACTTAATTATAATGTGGATAGTTTAATTTATATCCAAACAACGTATTTTAAAAGTTCTTCATAAGTTTGTGTTTACAAATCTGGATCTATAAAGTAAATGTAGTATGTACTGTATTTGAATTGTAGCAGAGTTGAAGTATGAAGTGGCACAGTAAGTAGTTACTCATGTAAAGTACAAGTATCTGAAATGTGTACTTAAGCACAGTACTTGAGTAAATGTACTTAGTTACCTTCCACCACAGCAGATAAGTATATATTTGTTGTTATTACGGCAGAAGGAGTCAGATAAGCTTTGTGTTCTCACCACGTTCCATGCCGGCTCAGCATGGTCCGCTCCCAGGTACGACACGTAGGAAGCAAAGCCCTCGTTCAGCCACACCTCGTTCCACCAGCGCAGAGTCACCAGGTTACCAAACCACTGCACACATATTACATTTATTTACATCAGGGGTGTCAAACATATGGCCCGCGGGACAAAACCGCACAACTTTTATGTATTTTGTATGTACAAATAGTTGTCATTTACAAGGCAGGGGGTTAAGTTAACGTTCCTCCTTAATAGTTCCCATATTAGTTTTTATGGTGCCGTGATGGTTCAGGTGTTCAGGATTACTACACAGTTGTGGAAATGGATGTAAAAAACCTGTTTTGATCATAAAGTCAAAAACTATATTGTTCAGTTCCATATACCGATGACTAAATGCAGAGGCATAATATTGTTGGAATTGCACTTATTTTTCTTAAGAAATGTTCGCTTGTTCGTAATGTTTTCTTATAAGGTAGTTTATTAAATATGAAATATTTCACAATGTACATTTTTGCACTCAACAAAGGGGATCATTTGGAGTTGTCGTTATTTATTATTCTAAGATATAACTGGTCCGGCCCACATGAGATCACATTTGGCTGTATGCGGCCCCTGAACTAAAATGAGTATCACACACCTGATATGGATCATCATCAATCTAAAGATACCATTTAAAATGACATTGTAAAACGTGTTCACCATGTGTGCTAGTTCATGAGCAATGATGGTGGCAGTTGTCTCTTTGTTTCTGTTGGAGGATGTCACAGGGTCATAGAGGAGGTTGCTTTCTCTGTACGTCACTAAACCCCAGTTCTCCATCGCACCAAAGAAGAAGTCTGGCAGGGCGATTTGATCTGCAGAGAGCAGGTTTACAGCAGGTTAAAGGGACTGATCACAAGTCGTTGCATCACAGCTATAATTTATTACAATAAAACAGAGAAACAACATGCAACAAATCTGTTGTACTGAGACAGCAGCTGAGGTCTCTGGAAAGAATTTCAAAATCAAGCTATGGTATGTTGGATTGACATTTCAACAACACTTAAATCCACAAAAAAACGGAAACATGTTGCTTGCTTAATGGGATTAACCTGTTCTGGATTGAAGAATTAACCTGCAGTTTATCCAGGGCTGATTCCTCTGTATACCACCAGACACTCCTCAACAATGGAACAATTTAACATAATACAATAGCAAAAGAAACTTCATTCTCCCCTCTTATTGTCTCTTTTCTTTTCCTTTATTTATTTGTCTTCTTCTTTTTCTTCTTTTCTTTCTTTTTTAATTTGTAAGTTTTACAAGTTTTTTGTAACTACTTTGAGCATCCACAGTAAAAAAAACAGATCAAGTTTCACTTTCATTACATTTGCGAGCTTTTGAAAAATAATTAGCCTACTCAGCAGATTGATCACACATTAGGTTCCCATCCAAATGAAGTGCATAATTAAACAACATTTAGAGAAAAACAGCAAAGCAAACAAAAACTAGAGAATGCAATTCCTGAAGAAATTGCTAGTGGGAATGCTTTATGCTGAAAAGCTGACGCTGAATTGCTATGCTGAAATATAATGTGTAAGAAGAAAGTGAAGAATTTAGATTGAAATGATACATGAACACTGGGGGCTTGAATGTGTGATGAGAAGAAAATAAATTAAAATGGCTTGGAAAAGCAGCAGAATATTTGAACTGCAAACTATTGAACTAACTTGATGGCGAATGATCTGTCGCCATGGCAACGGTATTTGATGACAACCCATAATACGCTTAGATATGTTGATGGCTGCATCGTTACCAAACCTGTGAAGTTTTGGGCTGTTTGGAGCATTTTCCCTGAGGTTATGAGAAAACCGTGGCGAGCATTGTATTGCCATGGCAACGGCATTTGAAGAAATCTCAAAACTGTCCCAGATGTCTTCACGGCTTGACTGTTAACACACATGTGAAGTTTTAGCACTTTTTGACAATTTTCATAGGAGTTATAGCAATATCGTGTTTTATGGCGAGGGATGCAGGCAACAGTTTTGAGGAAAACTCACTAATGGCACATAGACATGTTGAGGGCTTGACCATTAACCATCATCTGAAGTTTGGTGCTGTTTTGACCATTTTCATAGGAGTTACGACAACATCGTGTTTTATGGCGAGGGATGCGTTTCCATGGAAACGGCATATTATGAAACCCCATAATTGACGTAGAGCTGTTGAGGGCTGGATTATTAACCATTATCTGAAGTCTACTGCCGTTTTGACCATTTGCATAGCAGTTACGACAACATCGTGTTTTATGGCGAGGGATGCATTTCCATGGAAACGACATATGGTGGGATCCCAGATTGGCGTAGAACTGTTGAGGCATGGACCGGTGGTATACAAGCGAAGTTTGGGGGACGATCGGACGGTGTCCATTGGAGTTACAGCGACATCTTGTTTTATGGCGAGGGATGCATTG